GAGAGAGTGCTTCACTTTTTCAACTGTTGAGTCTTTCACTGTTGCACCACATGCTTCTAGCCAGAAAGATAGTGAGCATTTGCTGGTCTTGTTCGGAACCAGTGTTCAACTTCAGGATGAACAAGTGACAATGCACTTAACATTGGCCTCCAGTTTGTAGTGTGTGGTATCTCTTGCTTAAATAGAAAGTAGGATGCCACAGCCATGTTTGTTTGCATGAACTATGTTGTGTCTCCAGCATTCTTAACAGCCTCATTAACACTCACCGGTGTTGTCCTTGGTCAGTGGAGACTGAGTTCAGAGGCGCTTTCACATGAGTTCACCTCCCAGGTGGGAGGCAATAAGGCACCTTGCTCATTCCTCCATCTGCTCACTGTTCGCTCTGGCCACTGTTGTTCATTGTGCCACCGTTCACTCCATCGCTCTGTTGCCAATGGCCCTGTGCCGTTACCTTCTGCTGCCACCTGCCACTGTGAGGTCTGCAAGTTGGTCTCTTGAGGTTCCACCCAGCTATGAATGATTTGAGCTGAGCTCTCAGTGGGGGAACCTCGCTGCTAGTGCACACTGGGCTGTCTCTTCCACAGAAATACTGTCCCACAGCAGGTCTAAGCACTTAGACCTGATTATCAGTGATTTCAGCTGTCACTTAACAAAACAAAGGACTATCTATGGAACCTAATCAGCTCTGTCTTTAAACAATGGAGAGGGGCAGGTCAAATAGTACTTGTGACTTAGGCAGACCATCAAGCAAAACACCTGTCCCCACCCTCTCTCTTGATGCCCTCAATCAGCACAGGCTAAGTACAGTTCTACTGCCCTTTACTCATACAATAAGAATAACATTTCATTACCCCCGCCCCACACCACACACATTCAAGTGATTTGTAACCCAACCCCAGCCAAAATCTATCACTTGGGCAACACTGCTCTGTTTGCTAGATACCTAGGTAGATTAGGTGTGAATGTAAATACAGTCTGGTCCTGAAGCCTTTCCCCCCAGCCCATCCCTAGTTGTCAGGGAGAGCTCA